TGCGCTAGAGACCAAGAGGAAACCACACTCCGAGTGGAGTGGGCCGTCACACCAAGGGGGCACGGTCGACCTTGCTGCTGGTACGCCAAAGCAATAGTGTCCACTATCCAGTGAGACAACCGCTGCTTTGAGAGAGCCCCCATCCCCCCACCATAACAGACAAAGAGCTGGTCTGAGGTCCCAAGAGGGCACGAGGGGAGGGCGAGGAGGATTCCATCTCCTCGCTCCCCTCAGAAACCTGATGACCAGGTCATGCTTTCCCAATGACTTACCTTCAACTGCTTCATGAAATGCGGCAATAGCCGTGACATAAACTTTAAGGGTGGAGGGAGATAGCCTACGCTCCAACCCTTCTTGCAGGAAGGAAAGCACGACGCTGATCGGGCATGTCCGGGGGTCTTCTCGGCGAGAAGAGCACCAGTTGACGAAGAGGTTCCACTTCAACGCATAGACGTGTCTAGTGGACGACGCTCTAGCGGAAGTGATGGTAGCCGCCACCACAGGTGGCAGGGAACTCAAACCTGCCTCGTCCCATCCAGGAGCCACATGTGTAGTCTCAAGAGCTCGGGACGAGGGTGCCACAGGGTGCCCCGTCTCTGAGAAAGGAGGTCCTTCCTCAGAAGAATTGGCCAAGGAGGTGCTGTCGAGAGGAGCATCAGTTCGGAGAACCAAGTCTTGGTGGGCCAATAGGGGGCTACAAACAAGACCTGCTCCTCGTCCTCCTTGATCTTGCACAGAGTCCGTGTGAGAAGGCTCACTGGGGGAAACACATACTTGCGCCAGCTGTGCACCAAGGAGTCTGTGCCGAGCGTAATACAGGGCACAGTCCTGGGAAGCGAACAGATCTATCTGTGCCTCCCCGAACTGGTCCCATATCAGCTGGACCGACTGGGGATGGAGTCGCCAGAGACTGGATGGAGCCGTGACAGCTCGTCGGCTGCCAGGTTCCGATCTCCTGGAATGTAAATAGCACGAAGGGACCTCAGATGCTTCTGACTCCATAATAGGAGGTGGCGTGCGAGCTGCGACATCCGATGTGAGCGTAGACCACCCTGATGGTTGATATACGCTACTGTTGCGGTATTGTCTGATCAGACAAGTACGTGTTGTCCCCGGAGCAATGCTCGAAAGCGGTGCAGGGCCAGGCGTACTGCCAGCAGCTCGAGGTTCGACCACGGGAAGAAGGTCTGATGGCAGGTCGGAGTCACTGGAACTCTGAGCAAACCGCGATGCCATGCCCACCTCGGGACTCGATCGCGAAGCCACAGCTGAAGCGGTCTCATATGAAGCAGTCCGAGCGGCATCGCCGCGGCTCCGGATGCCATATGCCCCAGGAGCCTCTGAAAGAGTTTCAGTGGGACCGCACTCTTGCCCTCGAACTGTCGAAGACAAGTCAGCAGTGAGTGAACGCGCTCGCTTGTGAGCTGCGCGGACATGGCGACCGAGTCTATCTCCATACCGAAAAAAGAAAAGTTTGCTCTTCTCCCGATTGACCCGAAGGCCCAGATGGGTTAGGTGCTGGAGCACAAGGTCTCTGTGTTCGCAAACCTGCTCTCGAGAGTGTGCCAGGATCAGCCAATCGTCGAGATAACTCAGGATGCGAACCCTGCGAAGGGGAACAAGGGCAGCCTCAACAATCTTCGTAAAGACGCGAGGAGACAGAGCTAACCCGAATGGGAGGACCGTGTACTGATATGCCTGTCCCTCGAAAGCAAACCGAAGAAATGGTCTGTGTCGAGGAGACATGAAAGTACGCGTCCTTCAGGTCTATCGCTGCAAACCAATCCTGAGGCCGAACGCACTCGAAAATGCGTTTGGCCGTGAGCATTTTGAACGGCAGTCAGTGAAGAGTACGGTTCAAAACTCGAAGATCTAGGATCGGTCGTAATCCACCGGTCTTCTTGGGGACAATGAAGTAAGGGCTGTAAAACCCAGACCTCATCTCGGCTGGAGGGACAGACTCGATTGCACCCTTCGCCAGCAGGGCGGCAATCTCCGCTCTCATGATCAGGGTATTGCCACCGACCACCGTAAAGCGAACTCCCCGGAAGCGGGGAGGAGATCGTGCGAACTGAATCGCATAGCCGAGTCTGATCGTTCGAGCGACCCAGCGGGACAGGCCGGGGAGCTCTAACCAAGCTCCCAGAAACCGATCCAGCGGGATCATCCGAGCCACATACGTCCCCCCGGAGGAGCAGCGGGGCAGACTGTTACCCCTGCGGGTGCACAGTTGAGCTCCGCCCCCCGACAGAGGAGACCAGGGAAGGACCAGCGTTCCACAGGGGTCTGCTCTGCCGGGGGCTTGGCGATACAGGGGGATGGGAGTGGCGTGGTCCAGGGACGACACACACTCCCATCCGCACCCTCAGAGACAGAGGAGAATGAGAGTGGCGAGGCACAGGGGCGTTGCGCACTTTCATCTTGCTCTGTGTGCTCAGAGATGGAATGCAGCTCTTTGAAGAAAAGATTCTCCCCCAGCCCTACTGCACACCCCAAAGGCAATAACACAGAGTGAGGTGGCAGCCTGCCCCGCAGCTCTATAGGTCCCGCCACCGGAGTAGACAAGAACCTACGGCATTGGGGGGGTGCTCAGGGTTGCCACGCCAGGTGGAGACACTGTGGGGACACCTAAGTGTTGCCACAGAACACTCCACAGGGGGAACCCCAGTGCACCCTAGACTGCGGCCTCTACCAGGGCAGAGAAGGCGGAAGAGGCCGCTGAGCAGTCGCAAAAGTCAAAGAGACTTCCACAATCTCATGGCCTCTTCATGCACATCCGGGTAGAAAGGATTTGGGTTCGCCACCCCCAAAAAACCAATCATCAGCCTAAAGTGCTTGGGACATGGCAGAATTTTCCACACAAACCCAACACTCGTGGCAGCCTGGGAAGCATAGCTGTGAACTCTGAATCTAACTCGCTATGCCAGCACATCTGAGGACAGCAGCACAGACGAGCCAACTCCAGAGAACTACAGCTCACCTTGTGATGCGGCGATAAACATGATTTCATTAACTGGGGGACCGAATGAGAACGCGGTCCCTTTTATTTAAAAAAAAATTTTTTTTTTTGGCAGCCGCGAAGTCACTCGGGACCACGTGTTGCAATGGTCACGTTCCCACTTAGAGAACGTGACACACCCACGAGCGCTGTCTGAGCGTGATCAAAGCCCAAACACGTCAAACAGCACTCGTGCCCATCAGCTGACTCTATCAAAATATCGCACTCAGGAATACACGGGCAGATCGTCTTTAAAAAGACGTGACCCGTGCACACTCTTTCAGTGTAAGGAGAAAACTCCGCGGATGTTGAAGCGACCAGGGAGAGACACACACACTGGCAGACCACTGCTCAGATTGCAGGCAATGTGAAACTCGCTGGATACCGCCGTCACACCAACACCAGAGAGTTCGCTCGTCTCGAAGAGGTGAGTCACAGTAGTAAACTCAGATTGTGTGGCTTTTGGAGTGAAGAGGTTCTCTTGGCTCCGAAGCGAAAACATACTGCAGTTGCGTCTGCTTCCTCCTTTTATACCCACGAGGTGGGGCGGAGATACGCTATGCAAATTCCGCTGACCCAAGGCATTTTCATGCCATTGGCTCGTTTTTAAATACTCGAAGAGGATTGGCTTTCTATGCGAAACCCCCATTCTCCGTCATCCGACGTAACTCGGAGTGACTACGAAAGGGAACTGAACAGGTTGAAAAATATGACCAAAACAGAATATAAAGATATAAACAAAGCACCTGAAGAGAATAATTTCATCTTTTCTGTACTTATAAACACTCCAAATATACAACAAAATGCATTTAAGGGCTAAAAAAGTGGATTTTGCATGATATGTCCCCATTAAATTTACCAACAATTAGGACTTTATCTTCAGCCAGTACTAACTCTGATAGAAAATCAGCAAATTATTTGATAAAGTCTGTATGGTGCCCTGGTGGCCTGTATACAGTAGCCAGCACAAATCTCAAACGTGATTCATCATTTACACTAGAAAGTGTTACATAAGCACCAACACTTCAAAATAATTATATTTGAAACAAGTTTTCTCAGTCATTCTAAAGATATTACTATAAATTACAGCAACACCTCCCTCTTTGCCTTAGACGAGGCTCATGTTTATAACAATAATCTTGTGGGGTGGACTCATTTAAAGCAATGTAATCATCTGGTTTTTGCCAGGTTTCTGTCAAACACAGCACATCTAGGTTATAATCTCTAATCAATCAAATCAAGTGCTTTTGAAGTAAGGGATCTAATATTCAGCAACCCCAGTTTTATCTTTTGTTCATCTGTATTATATCTGTTTTTTTATTTGTTGAACATCAATTCAATTTTTATCCTTAAATGGGTTTGGGATTTTTTTGTATTTCCTAATTTTGAGGAATAGACACAGCCTCTATATGATGATATCTAGGTGAAAGAGTCTCTATGTGATGGGATTTATCCATAGACTAAAAAATCATCTCAGTCATGTGAGAACGCTACTGTAGCATACGGTTGGTTTAGCCAGTCTGTCTGCTTCCTGACCTGTCATGTTTGAGCTCTAAGATGTAGCTCTAAATGTCACATGATCCTTCAGAAATCACTTTAATATGCTGATTTTGAAGAAACATGTCTTGATATTATCACATGTTGAAAACAGTTGTGCTGCTTAATATTTTTGTGGAAACCATAATACATTTTTTTCTATATAGAAAAAATAGCATTTATTTGAAATAAAAATCCTTACTGAATAAAAGTATGAATCTCTTTATACAGTAATCTCTTTAAACAGCAAACAGTAGTGTAATCCATTGATATTATTTTAGATATAATATTATGCCATATAAATAGATATTAAGTCTTGTATTTGTTTCAAACCTTTACAGACATCAATGTGAAAGGTGATAAAACGATGACGCATACAGTTTACTTCCAGAGCAATGACTGACCACAGAGTCATCTAATAGAACACAAAAAGATCTGATTATCTTTCATGCTGTGTCTCTCGCAGAGCAACACCCCTGATGTACGGATGTACTCTCACAAGCTTGTGAGGATTTTAGCTGTGGTTAAACATTTAACGGGTCACCAATATGTACAGATGCAGTGTTAGTGACTGTACGTGTGTATGTGTGTGTCCCCTGATGCTAGTGTGGAAAGAACAGACCCTCTGTCTGCTCTGGCGCGGGAGTATGGTGGATCTAAGAGGAACGCTCTACTGAAGTGGTGCCAGAAGAAAACAGAGGGCTATCCGGTAAGGAGCACAGGCTGTGACCCCCTCTCTCACCCTGTCCCTCTGTCTCTCATCTTTCAGTGAAGTTTTATTGGCATGACTGTTGAAATACAACATTGCCGGAGGAATGTAGAGTGAAAACGAATTTACATGTTTAAAAGAGAACTTTTTTTGCATTTCTGCACCACACGTGTCACCAAACAGAGCTGCACAAAAAACTAGAAAAGTATGTGCCGTCTGAAAGTTTAAACAGTTTTAATTGTTTGACGTTTATGGTTATTTCCTCCTTACATAGTTTGAATATTTTACTTTGAGTTGTGGTGGAGTATCAGAAGAATTGTCATAGAAATAAGGTAAGTGGCTGTCTACATACAGTATACTGTTGGCCATCTTAACATGGTCCTCCCGTACACCATTACATAAGTTACATAAGAAACATACATAAGAAACATATAGTGTTCCACCCCAGTGTACTGTGGCCCTTGTAATATTAGTGAACAGAACAGACTTCTTACAAAAAAATATGAATAATAGTGTATTTAAAGCTATTAACGTCCTAAAAAAATGTAGACCAAAAATATTATAAAAAGAAGTTAGAAAGTTAGAAAGCTTTTATAAAGTTACAGAACAAAGTATATTTATCAAAGAACTCAGTTAAAAAAAAAGAGAGTAAACAATCCCCAGAAATATTGCATGCAACCTATAAGTCCACATTGGCAAGAACATTTACTACAAACATTGTGGAAGTACACTTTATTGGAAAATGCTGGTTCACAAATGGGAATGTTACAAATTGGCTATCAACAGAGGGCATCTTGTGGTGTCAGTATTTTCTCAAGGATCATTTTAAGCCTTTGTATTTGGTATGTTCAACACCCTGCACTGCTCTAATACCCTGCACCATCATATATATGTGATTTAATTACGCCATATATGCCCTCTCAATCTCTCTGCTCCGCCCACCCGCCCAATGGATGAAAGAGCCTTCTCTGTGGCAGCCCCCAGGTTGTGGAATGCACTTCCTTTAACTGTTCGGAATGCTGCAACATTAACGAGTTTTAAGAAACTGTTAAAAACCCATCTTTTTAAGAATGTGTTTGTGTCTTAATTGGTGTTAATGTATCCTAAAGGAGAACTCCGGCGAACAATGAACCTTTGGTCTAATAAAACATCGGTACTATAGTCAATCGTACATACAGACAGGAGCCATCTTAAAAAATAGTCTCGATAAGTCAAACCACGAACGTCGTGCTGAGTGATCTGAACTCTATGAAGTTCAGCGAACTTCTGAACTGTATGAGCGGCGTTCGGGGATCGACTTATCGAGACTATTTTTTAAGATGGCTCCTGTCTGTATGTACGAAGTGAACTGTCTTCATAAAGTATCTTCTTATTAAACGGTCTGTACACTTACAAAGTTCTCAATGCTTCGTTTTGCATGTATGGAGCCTCATTATGTTACTGCGTTAGTGTGGAGCTATTTTGAGCCTTGTTAGTGGTGTAAACTTGCGATTTCTTTTTACTTAGTCAATGCCCCCATTACTAGCATTATACGCTAAACAGTTTTTAGAGATAAAACTCTTTACATTCGATTATCATGAAAACAAATCTCAGAGAATGGTTGACTATGTACCGATGTTTTATTAGACCAAAGGTTCATTGTTCGCCGGAGTTCTCCTTTAACTGTTAAAATATTTTACTTTTGTACTGTGATTGTAGCGCTTAGGGTACAAGAAAAGCGCAATATAAATAAAATTTATTATTATTATTATTCTTCAAATACCCTTCTAAAAAAATTCCTGAACAAACTCAGCATGCAAAACATACCTTATGCTGGTGATGACCATGATATCTTTGATAGACCATGATTGTCTTGAAACACCAAATAAAGATTTTAGTCATATAATTTCTAATCAGTACCACATTACATTTCAGATGTTTTCTGTCTAACACTGAATAATCTAACAAATTGGCATTGTTCCACTGTATCAGTCAGTGTTTGTGTTCCCAGAAGCAAATAATGTATTATTGGCCATGTGCAATTGTGTTTGAGAAGATCATATTTCTACTGGTCACTGCTCTAATACCCTGTTTGAGGCCTAAACCCTTAGAGGGACCAGACCCAGGCCCCCACCATTGACATGTATTAGAGGAAGATTCGCGTTAAAGGATAATTCCGGTATTTAACACCTTGAGTCTATTTTGTAGTTTGTTGTGAATGAAATAGAGAGTGGTGGACTTAGAAATTTTGACAATGGGTCCTGTCTCGACTTTTTGACTATTTTAGAATCGCCTGTGAGAGCTTTAGACTGGCTGTCTATGGGCATGCACAAACATGTCCTTAAAACAACCCTTAACGTTCATTTTCAAAATTGTGCAACTCACCGAGTGGTTGGTGGTGTTCGTTGATGTTTAAAAACAAATATATTGGCGCAATGTATGCTTTCAATCCGTGTTGTTTGCTATAGTGGAACTATTTTTTCAGATACCTCAGATTGTGCATGCCCATAGACAGCCAGTCTAAAGCTCTCACAGGCGATTCTAAAACAGTCAACAAGTCGAGACAGGACTCATTGTCAAAATTTCTCCACCACTCTATTTCATTCAAAAAAGTCAAAAAAGTCCACCACTCTATTTCATTCAAAACAAACTACAAAATAGACTCAAGGTGTTAAATACCGGAATTATCCTTTAACATGCTTACCCTTCATATTAGCCTCAGCTGGTAAATATATTGATGAAACTGGTGCTCATGCTTTCTTTTCTCCTACCCCTTTCAGCGTCTTTTGCTTAATCCTCGAAAACAGACTTTAAGCACTTTATTTAAGCACCAGATACTGACCGACTTCTCTCAGATGACCTACACTGGCTGTTAAGGAAAAGCAAAGTTAAACATATATTTTGTCAAAGAAGGAGAAACTATAAATGAAATTTCTGATTAGAATCTCCGAAAGCCCTCTTGCCTTAAGCACTTAGCAGTCTGGAGGCTAAAATTATCAGAATAATGCCAGAATGCAATTAGAGGTTTAAACTGATAAGTGTGTATTTCAGCATTGAAAATAGGCAGTTGGCTGTTATAAGATGTACATTTTTCTGTGTGGTTAATAGGGATGCTTAAATGTTGACATGGAGTCAGATTATTCGTTTATGCCAGGCCTAGACATTGTGTGTGCTAGCAGATCAATTAACATGACTGTGACATGTTGTGTGGTTTTGTGACTGGTATGTTATTTTAAGTGACAATGGATTGACATGAAACTAACTTTCTTCAATGTAAAAACTTTATTGAATTTCATGACACCTGGGCCAAATTTACCCACAAAATCAAAATAGAAGTAAAAAAGAAAGACACTATTGTTCAAAGGTTTAAGGTCGTTAACATTTTTATTGCCACATTTACTAACAGCTTGCATCAGCGGAAACCATCCTTTGGGGTTAAAAAAGTACTGTCAGGATTTAAGACACACAGTAAAAAAAATGTGCTGAAAAGGCGTGGACACAATTTTTGCAGCTGACCTTATTGCATATGCATTTGTAAGAGTTTCTCTTTCAGATGCAAAATTTATGGAAGGAGAGTATTTTCATGCAAGGTGGTTTGCACTAGTCAATTTACTGGTATTTGAGAATTTTTTATTTCTATTATTATATATATATATATATATATATATATATATTGTGTTTAAATTAATTATTATACAGCCATGGCTAAAAGTATTGCCAGTGACATATATCTAGTGTTTACAAAATGTGTTGCTTCATTATTTGTAGATTTTTTTTTCTTCACATTTTTGTGGTATACTGGAAAACAATGATAATCATTTAATAGGTTTTAAAGGCTTTTATTTGAAAAAAACAAAAACAAACAAAAAACATTCAATATATCCAAAGACTCTATATTTACAGTGTTGACCCTTCTTCATTACCTCAATTCACTCTGACCAAATCCTGACTGATGGCTATTCATTCTTGCTCATTCTATTAGAGCTCAGAGTTGATCACTCTTTGTGGACTATGGGGTTCTCTATATGGGATTAAGATCTGTGGAGTTGCCTGGCCATGGATCCAAAATTTCTGAGCCACTTCATTATCACTCTTGCCTTGTGACATGGTGCTCAATCATGCTGAAAAATGCACAGATCAACACCAAATTGCTCCTGGGTCATAGGGAGAAGTTGCTCTTGCTGGAAGTTTTGAGACCATTCTTTATTCATTGCAGTGTTTAGGGCAGAATTGTGGCAGAGCCCACTCCCTTGGATGAAAAGCAAACCCACATATGAATGGTCTCAGGATGATTCATTGTTGGCACCACATTTGACTCATGTCAAGTCAAGTCAACTCACCTTCATTTATATAGCGCTTTTTACAATACAGATTGTATCAAAGGAGCTTCACAGTGATGACATGAAAATAATACAATACAGATTAATAATATTGTTGAATAGTAAATGTTCCCAACTAAGCAAGCCAAAAGCCAAGGCAACAGTGGCAAGGAACCAAAACTCCATCAGGTGACAGAATGGAGAACAAAAACCTTGGGAGATCCCAGGCTCAGTCGGGGGGCCAGTTCTCCTCTGACCAACGAAGGAACAGTGATTACAAAACAAATTGGATCGAAACATTAAGAGTATTTGTCCATTTCCATCTGTTTGTAAGTCGAAGTAATCACGCCGGTTTGGAGACGAGATGTTGAGGATCAGTGCTGATGGCTGTCTGATCTGTGTCTGCTTCCCGGACAATATTGGGAAGATTGTTCCAGAGTTTTGATGCTAAATAGGAAAAGGATCTACCACCAGCAGTCGATTTCGATATTCTAGGTATTATTAACTGGCCGGAGTTTTGAGATCGCAATAGACGTGAAGGACTATAATGCATTAACAGCTTGTTCGAGTACTGCGGAGCTAAACCATTTAGTGCTTTGTAAGTAATCAGCAATATTTTATTTATATGATGTTTAATAAGCAGCCAATGCGGGGTTGACAGAACCGAGCTAATATGGTCATACTTCCTGGTTCTGGTAAGAA